ACACACACACGAGCTCTCACACGCACACATACACAGGAGCTCTCACACACACACACACAGGAGCTCTCACACACACACAGGAGCTCTCACACACACACAGGAGCTCTCACACACACACACAGGAAAAACACACACACACACACACGAGCTCTCACACACACACACACACGAGCTCTCACACACACACACACACGAGCTCTCACACACACACACACACGAGCTCTCACACACACACACACACGAGCTCTCACACACACACGTCGTCTCAGGTGAGAAGCAGTGCATGCAGGGAAGGCCGGTAGTTTCTTTTTCCTTTAAGAGGAACTTTACCCAACTCTTTAAAATAAGAAGAAAGACACCTTTAGAAATATTTAGTTATGACAATCTACAGACAGATACTTCTAGATAATTGCCGGCTTTGTATCCTTTGCACCTTATTTCTCTTTTCTTCCCCCGTCTTCTGACAGCGGCCATGTCAACTAAGGGTAGATTACTAGATCTCACTTTACTTCCTGGAACTCTGGCACATGTGACTAGGACATGTGACCATGCACATCATCTCAGGGGAGGGAATCCCCTGCTGATGTAAGCTTCCCACGATGCAATGCTTGGGCAGGATGACATAATTTGTGCCAAAGAGGACCAGGAAGAGAATAAGAAATTGTAGGCAAAATACATTTTTGTATTTAGCTAATGAATGTAAGATGATTTCATATCTGCGTGCAGAGCTGTGTGCTGATGTGATTTTTAGTCAGGGGCAGGGGCGTCCCGAGGTCGGGTGACACCCCGCCGTGACGTGTCATCACGCATGCGAAGCCATCTGATTCCTGCCGACGGCCATCTTGGTGTTGGACGCCGGCAGGGAGAGGAGGGGACGTTCACCCGGCGGGATGATGTATTCCGCCGGGTCCCCTCCTCTCTCCTGACACTTTCACAGGGATCACCAGGGATTCATATAACCAAAGCTGCCGATTTAAGATTTGGAAATGGACTTGTGAAATGACCTGAACGTGTTAAAGCTTCGATGAGATTTTAGTGATGGGGCTCACGTCTAAGATGAGCTCATTTCTGGAATATTTGTAGCAGCTGAACGGCGATGAGCTATAAGAATCAACGAATAATGACAGCGAATGGAGTGAGAGGCAGTCGGCGTTCTTCAGCGCGCAGCCAGTAAAATATCTTCTCTATGGTGTCGGGAGATGCTGCGATCTCATCCCACAGATCCCGACTCTCCACATTATTATCAGTGATGGGAAATGTTTGACTTGCGGCGTTCGACCTTCAAAGACGAGATTTCAGCTTCCTTCATTCAGTGTCACGTAACACGATGAAACGTATACAGAGACCCTACAGAGGAGAAGAGGAAGAAATACCTCAAACCTTGAGTGTAGGAGTTGTATATTTCTATGGGGAGGTCGGAATAATTACATGTTTTTTTTATTATCTTTCTTTTAAAAACAATACTGAGCTGACCTGTGACAGTCTCATTGTCACAGGTCGGCTAGAACTATGAGGTGAGTGAAAAGCACTCACCTCATAATTCTCCTTTTTAAGCTGGGTATACACGACTAGAATTTCGTACAAACTAGGGATGCACTGATACCGGGTATTTGGGCGAGTACTCGCCAAATGCTCCGATACTAGAATTTCTGGTCCGAGAGAGATCTCCATCTGACCAGCAGCACCAATTGGGAAGCCGGGCGGCACGTCATGCCCCACCTCCCGGCTTCCTGATTGGTCATTAAGCCAGGCTGCCTAGCAACAAGGGAAGCCAGGCTGCCTAGCCAATCAAGTAGGTGGGTCATGATGTGCCTCCCAGCTTCCTGACCAATCATAACACAGTGCTGCACTTTTTCTTAGGCGCCGGTACTCTGTATTGGCGAGTACCGAGAAAAAAAAATATCGGTACTCTTACTCGATAATGAAAAACCGGTATCCCTACTACCAGTGGCGTCACAAGGGGGGTGCGGCCCGCACCCGGGTGCCACCATTATCCCGCCGGGTGACTGTCCCCTCCTCTCTCTGCCGGCGTCCATCACCAAGATGGCCGCCGGCATCAGCATACAGACGCGCGTGCGCAGTGACGTCTCGGCGGGGGGACACTCTGTTACCGCTCCGGGTGTCACCCAGCCTTGGGACGCCCCTGCCTACTACAAACGTTTGCACCAAAAATTTTGTTTGTTCAAGAAAAATGTTCCATCCGGCTTCTGCAAGGCTCCGGTCACACCTGGGCATCAATGATTTCCCGCATATTAGCGCACATTTTGTTATCATGTTGTCTAGCGTGTTTAGCAAATTTTTGCACGCACATGAAGATGCATGTTTTAGTGAGCAGATTGAAATTCATTTGGTTGAATGGGTAGAAAGCTTGTATACGTTTTCCAGCGTTCAGCGTTTTATAGCTTACAACAAAACTCTCGGGTGTGAACAGGGACCATTGAAATGAATTCAATTTTTTGTGATGAGCGTTTTGTCGCGTTTAGCTTTGAGCATCAAAACGTCCAGACGTGATCAGGGACAGTACACTACAAACTATTAGGGCGCGTTCACAGCTAAGCATAGCATTACTCGCGCAATACCATCCAATTAATGCGTGGTATCGCACAACGTACCTAGAGTGTGTTACCGTGTGTGTCAAAAAGCCTATACCACATGTGTTGTGCATGTGCTTGACATGGGTTCATAGAATTGGTCCGGGCCATGCACCTTTTGCGCAGATGCGCATTCCTCGGCGTGTGCACGGGCGTGCGTGAACATCGAAACATGTCACCAGACAAGCTATTTAGGCTGCAACATCCAAACTCTCAGTGCTGAGTGATTGACGGCTTCCCCGTATACTCGAGATACTGAATCCCGATTTCCTGAAGCCGGCTCCATGCTGATTGGCCAATAGTGGCCAAGATAGGTGGAGCTGGCTTCCTGGGCAATCGGCATCCAGCCGGCTCCTTGGTGATTGGCCGGGAAGGCGGCTTCCCGGCCAATCAGCATTGAGCCGGCTTCCCGGCCAATCAGGAAGCTGGGAGATGGGTCATTACTAGCCGCCTGGCTTCCTGATTGGCCGGAAAACCGGCTGGATGCTGATCGGCTGGGAAGTACTCGCCCAAATACCCTGGGGGGTGGGGATGTTTGGCAAAGAATAGTACAATCAAGCCAGCCAGTTGATATGGAGCCGGCTCCATGCCAGCGGAAGCACCGGTATCGGTACTCAGTATCGATGAGTGCCAAAAGCGAAGCATCGGTACTTGATACCGAAAAACCGGTATGGGTGCATCCCTAGAAATAACAGCGATTACTTAAAGCCGTATACACCCCATGAGACTTACAGAGGCTGCAGCCTCTTGTCACATGACTCTGCAGCACAATCTTCTCATGGACTCCACTGGTGCAGGAACCAGGGAACACACTGGCTGCAATTGCAAAAAGCTGATAGGAATTTAGCAAATGGCTCGCCATAGAAGATTGATATCGGGGTGGAAATCAAACACACTCGATAGGAAGGCTTTGTCCGCGCATAATGCTCCTGCTTGCACGGAGCATTCCTTTAAGGCTGCTTAACCCATTAGAGGGAGCGATCACCTTGCCTGTAAGTGGGCGGAGAGGGCTAATATGTTAAATGAATTGAGAGGGATGTCAGAACGTTACTTTCCTGAGGTTTTTCCACAAATTGATGAATCATTACGGCGGACCGTTCGTCTCCCAGAGACCCCGCCGCCCGGAGCCAAGAATAATTTTTCATTAAGCCTGAACTGGCAGAACAATCCACACTGCACTCTTCTGGCCCCCGGGTCACGGGTCCCCCCGGCAGGGCCCAAGGAGGAGACGTCGTCTGGTCTCCAGATATAGCAGGCAAAGGGTTAAAGGAAACTTCTTCAGGTTTTATATGAGAAGAGGAAATGTTTTTGTTTTTTTATTTATCTGACAATCTCCTCTGATCCGTCTTTATGGTCGTAGACTCGCTGGGACATTCCTTCGCTGCCTCCGCACGTTTCTTCATCTTCTTGAAAATGTCAAAAAAGTTCAAACAAAGATTTGAAATACTTGTCTTTTTTTTTTTTTTGGCCTTGATGTTGACGAGTCTTATTATGAAGTCTGCAAGATATCAGAGCGAGCGCGAGAAGGAAACCTGTTTATACAAATGACTAAAATAATTGAATATTTTCAAAAGAATTCAACCCGTGTAATCCCTACAGACCGGTGACATCATTCACAATTCAACCGACCCATTCACTAGAGACCGGTGACATCACTGAGAATGCAACCGACCCATTCACTAGAGACCGGTGACATCACTGAGAATGCAGCCTATCCCTTCACTAGAGACCCGTGACATCACTGAGAATGCAGCCTATCCCTTCACTAGAGACCGGTGACATCACTGAGAGTGCAGACTATCCATTCACTAGAGACCGGTGACATCACTGAGAATGCAGCCTATCCAATCACTAGAGACCGGTGACTATCACTGAGAATGCAGCCTATCCCTTCACTAGAGACCGGTGACATCACTGATAATGCAGCCTATCCCTTCACTAGAGACCGGTGACATCACTGAGAACGCAGCCTATCCCTTCACTAGAGAGCGGTGACATCACTGAGAATGCAGCCTATCCATTCACTAGAGACTGGTGACATCACTGAGAATGCAGCCTATCCGTTCACTAGAGACCGGTGATATCACTGAGAATGCAGCCTCTCCATTCACTAGAGACCGGTGACATCACTGAGAATGCAGCCTATCCGATCACTAGAGACCAGTGACATCACTGAGAGTGCCGTCTAATCAATCACCACCGAGGGATAACATCATTCGGTCAGCACTATAATGTGAGGGCTCATTGATGACATTCATTCAGATGTATTTATTGGGGATTGGGGCTCATGTTCCAGAGCTGGGGGTGTAATAGCATGCAGACGCGTTTTCTTTCATTTGGTTTTGATATGATGTGGAGATGATCAGAGAAATGTATTTTGTATTGTTAGATGTTATAAAAGATCCTCCAATGTCGGTAACACTGGTTTTCTGTGTTTGTTGCAGACTGGTGGCCCTCTTCACACTCTCCCTCTGCCGCACTGACCCCCTACATGCCCAGGTAAGTCCCCAGCACTTTATATCCTCCGGGAAATAAATATTTGATCATATTTTGGCTCCTGTTCCTGGCATGATTTCAGTATCGCATTGTGAAGGGCGGCGATGACGCGCAAAGCATAATATCCGGGTATTATCTCTCCTCATCTGGCTGCAGTAAAGTGGTTGGTTGCCCAGCCTTAAAGTGAACCTGTGCTCCGATATTACCATAAATATATGTACAGCCTACCTGGGATCCCTCAGCATAGGAGGGCTACAAACATCTCCCCGGCATGACTGTCCCGGACTCTGCCCTTCCATCTATTGGATTTCAGTTCCGTCAATCATGTGGGCGTTACCTAAGGGTGGTCTGTATGCAAATACAGCCTGCCGGGGAACGCCCACTCCTCCAGGTTGATATCAACGCATTTTGATATTTGCATAACTCCTCCCAAGAGCCAGCCCACTGCTTGCATAATGGCTGAGGGCTCTTGAGAGGAGTACTGAGGCAGTCTGTTAATAACTTAAACCAGAAGAACGGGATTGGGGTATGCGGTATCAGGAGTTGGCAATGACTCTGTGATTGTTTGCATTCCAATTTAAAGGAGAACTATGAGGTGGGGGGGAGGGATGGGGAGGGGGGGCTTTTCACTCACCTCATAGTTCTAGCCGACCTGTGACAATGAGACTGTCACAGGTCGGCTCTGTAGATCGGGAGGTGAGCGAACACATAGGGATCCGCTCCGGCTGCAGCGTCTCAGTATACCGCGCGATGTAGTTTGCGGTATACTGAGCTTAGGGTGACGGGAGGACGCTAGTTTGTGTGTTCCCATTACCCTAAGGAGAACTATGCGGAAAAACACTGACCCCATAGTTCTCCTTTAATATAGCAGATATGACAAATATAAGCATCTCAGTGCTGCTGAACTCCTGCGGCCTCTTTCCAGCCTCTTCCTGCCTACATGCGCTCCTGCATTGGCTGCTTGACATTTCTCCGAGAGGGTTTCCCTTGGATCATGCCTGTGTTATGCGTGACAACGCAGGAGTACAATTGGGAGACGGGGACAGAGCGTTGTCACCCTATAACAGGAAGTGTCTGAACAAGGACCTTCATGGCGGGATCATCAGGGATGGCAGATTTAAGAAGATTGAAAGTGAATGTTGATTCATTAAGCTCGGGCGTTGGGTAGTTTTCCACCCTCAGGCAGATAAAACGATCCACACGCAGGGGGAAGTCATGGCTGCAGCTGAGATCTGATTTGTGTTGCAAGATGCACATTTTGGTCTGTGATTATCTGAGCCGCGAGTATCCGATGTCAAATCCCAAACCGCCGCGGCCAAGGAGCGCAGCTGGCCGAGCAGGGACTCTGCTGGTCGGCTGTTCTGGGAAAAGACGTCCTGACACTGGAATGCTGCAGACAAGGACTGTGGATCTCTATAGAGAAATTGCTTCTTTTCACACGCTGATATAGCGCCAACATTTTCCACGGCGCTGCTCATAGTGAGAACATACAATGACTATAAAGAGCAAGATTATAACTTCTACAGATATGTGAAATATTAGGAATGAGGGCCCAGCTCCAAAATGTTACATTGTAGAGGAGATTGGCAAGACAAAGGAGGTAGAGGAGATTTGGCGGAATCTGTAATGGGAGGTGTCAGGGATACCAGATGGGGGGAGATGCTGTGATCTGTCTATTTCCTATTTATTATATTTATTGTGTAAGTCCTCCGCCATTTATATATGAACTGATAATGTCATCTGATATCCATGTGTTTTATGTGTTACGGTGTGATCCCCAGATATTTACCCGCTTCTATTATGTAGCTGCTAAAGTGACAGGAAACTCAGACGTTAAAGGAGAACTATGGGGGTCAGGGCTTTTCCCCATAGTTCTCCTTCGGGTAACGGGGGGACACAAACTAGCATCCTCCCGTCACCCTAGGCTCAGTATATAGAGAGCTGCAGCTCGCGGTATACTGAGACGCCGCAGCTGAAGCGGATCCCGACATCGATGTCGAGATCCGCCCAGCTGCGTGAGTGACAGCTGGCTCTGCCTATCTGGAGGCAGAGCCAGCTGTACCCGCCCCCTCCCCCCAGTCAGTGCTGAAGGATCGGAGCAGGGAGGGGGGAATTCAGCCCCTCCCCTGTCACGGCAGAGAGCCGTGACAGGATCGAGAGGTGAGCGAACGCCGGTATGTGTTCCATCACCTCCCAATCTAATGAGACGACCTCTGACAGTCTCATTGTCACAGGTCGGCTAGAACTATGAGGTGAGTGGAAAGCACCCCCCCTCCCCCTCCCCCTCATAGTTCTCCTTTTAAATTATAAAAATACATTCAAGTATCCTAAGTATTAACAACAATGTATCTTATTTGTGTATCATGAGGATCTACAGCCGAGTGATACACAAATAAGATACATTGTTGTTCAATGTGTACATTGAATTCTTCAGACATAGTCTTTGACTTCACCCATCTCTCGTAGCATGTCTGCAGTCTTCAGCCGTCTCTTGTAGCATGTCTGCAGTCTTCAGCCGTCTCTTGTAGCATGTCTGCAGTCTTCAGCCGTCTCTTGTAGCATGTCTGCAGTCTTCAGCCGTCTCTTGTAGCATGTCTGCAGTCTTCAGCCGTCTCTTGTAGCATGTCTGCAGTCTTCAGCCGTCTCTTGTAGCATGTCTGCAGTCTTCAGCCGTCTCTTGTAGCATGTCTGCAGTCTTCAGCCGTCTCTTGTAGCATGTCTGCAGTCTTCAGCCGTCTCTTGTAGCATGTCTGCAGTCTTCAGCCGTCTCTTGTAGCATGTCTGCAGTCTTCAGCCGTCTCTTGTAGCATGTCTGCAGTCTTCAGCCGTCTCTTGTAGCATGTCTGCAGTCTTCAGCCGTCTCTTGTAGCATGTCTGCAGTCTTCAGCCGTCTCTTGTAGCATGTCTGCAGTCTTCAGCCGTCTCTTGTAGCATGTCTGCAGTCTTCAGCCGTCTCTTGTAGCATGTCTGCAGTCTTCAGCCGTCTCTTGTAGCATGTCTGCAGTCTTCAGCCGTCTCTTGTAGCATGTCTGCAGTCTTCAGCCGTCTCTTGTAGCATGTCTGCAGTCTTCAGCCGTCTCTTGTAGCATGTCTGCAGTCTTCAGCCGTCTCTTGTAGCATGTCTGCAGTCTTCAGCCGTCTCTTGTAGCATGTCTGCAGTCTTCAGCCGTCTCTTGTAGCATGTCTGCAGTCTTCAGCCGTCTCTTGTAGCATGTCTGCAGTCTTCAGCCGTCTCTTGTAGCATGTCTGCAGTCTTCAGCCGTCTCTTGTAGCATGTCTGCAGTCTTCAGCCGTCTCTTGTAGCATGTCTGCAGTCTTCAGCCGTCTCTTGTAGCATGTCTGCAGTCTTCAGCCGTCTCTTGTAGCATGTCTGCAGTCTTCAGCCGTCTCTTGTAGCATGTCTGCAGTCTTCAGCCGTCTCTTGTAGCATGTCTGCAGTCTTCAGCCGTCTCTTGTAGCATGTCTGCAGTCTTCAGCCGTCTCTTGTAGCATGTCTGCAGTCTTCAGCCGTCTCTTGTAGCATGTCTGCAGTCTTCAGCCGTCTCTTGTAGCATGTCTGCAGTCTTCAGCCGTCTCTTGTAGCATGTCTGCAGTCTTCAGCCGTCTCTTGTAGCATGTCTGCAGTCTTCAGCCGTCTCTTGTAGCATGTCTGCAGTCTTCAGCCGTCTCTTGTAGCATGTCTGCAGTCTTCAGCCGTCTCTTGTAGCATGTCTGCAGTCTTCAGCCGTCTCTTGTAGCATGTCTGCAGTCTTCAGCCGTCTCTTGTAGCATGTCTGCAGTCTTCAGCCGTCTCTTGTAGCATGTCTGCAGTCTTCAGCCGTCTCTCGTAGCATGTCTGCAGTCTTCAGCCGTCTCTTGTAGCATGTCTGCAGTCTTCAGCCGTCTCTTGTAGCATGTCTGCAGTCTTCAGCCGTCTCTTGTAGCATGTCTGTAGTCTTCCGCCGTCTCTTGTAGCATGTCTGCAGTCTTCAGCCGTCTCTTGTAGCATGTCTGCAGTCTTCAGCCGTCTCTTGTAGCATGTCTGTAGTCTTAAGCCGTCTCTTGTAGCAGGTCTGCAGTCTTCAGCCGTCTCTTGTAGCAGGTCTGCAGTCTTCAGCCGTCTCTTGTAGCATGTCTGCAGTCTTCAGCCGTCTCTTGTAGCATGTCTGCAGTTTTCAACCGTCTCTTGTAGCATGTCTGTAGTCTTCAGCCGTCTCTTGTAGCATGTCTGTAGTCTTCAGCCGTCTCTTGTAGCATGTCTGTAGTCTTCAGCCGTCTCTTGCAGCATGTCTGTAGGCTTCAACCGTCTCTTGTTGCACGTCTGTAGTCTTCAACCGTCTCTTGTAGCACGTCTGTAGTCTTCAACCGTCTCTTGTTGCACGTCTGTAGTCTTCAACCTTCTCTTGTAGCACGTCTGTGGTCTTCAACCGTCTCTGGTTGCACGTCTGTAGTCTTTCACCGGCGCTAGCAGCATGTCTGTAGGCTTCAACCGTCTCTTGTTGCACGTCTGTAGTCTTCAACCGTCTCTTGTAGCACGTCTGTAGTCTTCAACCGTCTCTTGTTGCACGTCTGTAGTCTTCAACCTTCTCTTGTAGCACGTCTGTGGTCTTCAACCGTCTCTTGTTGCACGTCTGTAGTCTTCAACCGTCTCTTGTAGCACGTCTGCAGTCTTCAGCCGTCTCTCGTAGCATGTCTGTAGTCTTCAGCCGTCTCTTGTAGCATGTCTGTAGTCTGACTTGCAGCACTATTTTCCATAGCATTACATACACTGAACATTATGTGCATCCCTTTGGTGATGTCAGGGGCCACACTGGAGGTTCCCTTATATCACGTAAGTTGACCAACACTGGCCTAGGATACGGATGTAAAACCAAAAAGTGGACTTGCTCTGTTGGAAGGAATCTGATTTTGTGCATGGACCTTTTCGAGCCGCTGATCGGCGTTCCTGAAAACTGCGGCACAGTTTCAGAATCCTTCAACATATTTTAGGAGGGAGGTCAGCAATGGCTTCCGACATGATTCCCTCTGTAACATTCATTGTAAAGGAAGCAGCGTTAAAAAAAGATTTTCGATTCCCGTTACATAAAGGAGTCTGACGTCTGAAAAGTACATTCGTCAGAAGTATTATTTCATCACATAAGAATGTTACCAAACATGGAATAGGCCAAGTTTTCCCCCGTTTTATATTCTGTGTATGGCTCGGCTCCTGTTAATAAATCCGTTTTTATTATTTCTTTATAGGAACAGTGCTCAAATGGCTTCCAGATAGACAGAGCAACCGGGGAATGCTTAGGTAAGAGCGACTGGTAATGTTCTGCCAATGTATGAAAATATTGTTATTGGTAAAGCTGAAGTCTAATCTGCTGATATTTTGCATTCCCCGATTCCCCCGTCACTTTTAACTAAAACCTTTCCGTTTACACCACACACCTTATTCCAGCCTCCGATCATTGGGCCTCTATGTGTCAGGGTACCCAGGGGGCTTACCTCTCCTCGGGGTTGGCCATGTGCGGCGGGGGGCACGGGTTCCCCTTCCTGGCAGGACCCCTGGCACCGGGACTGCGGGTACGCATGCGCGCAATGCACGACCAGTGCGTGTGCGCGGTGGACAGGCTGCGCGCGCAGGCACGGGGACGCGCGCCCGTTACTGGTGTCAGGTGTGATCCTTGCTGGGGGAGGTTCCCAACACACACCCTCTGCCTCTCTGCCATTGGCTCCTGATGGAGAGGCTACCTGGTTGCCTCGGTAGCCGGGGAGTGGTCTCAGTCCTCCACTGGGTATAAAAGCACAGTCAGAGCCCTGGCTCATTGCTGTGTTATTCTATCCCTATGGTGTGATCTCCCAGCTCCCCGTGCCTTTAACCTGTCTTTATTCCTGAACCTCTGCTTGGACTCCTGATTACCGACCCTTTGGCTTACCCTTCCGTTACTGAAACTAGCTGCCTGCCTCGACCCGGATTGGACCCGACTATTCTTCTTGGATTTTCCCTGTGTACCTCTACCTCGGACTTTGGCTTGCCGCCCCTGCCAAGGGGTTCCACTCACGGCCCAGCCGTACCCCCCTGACACTATGCTTCTCAATGCAAGGAAAGCAGATTGTGGCTGGTACGAGGGGACGTCAGGGTGCTGTGATGTTTTCAGGAAGCCATGCACAGCACCGTCAGTACTTCTCTAAAGAGCCCTCAGCCCTGATGCAAGCAGTGGGCCGGCTCTTGGGAGGAGTTATGCAAATATCAAAATGCCTTGATGGGTGGATGACAGTCTGGAGGAGTGGGCGTTCCTAGGCAGGCTGTATTTGCATGCAGACTGCCCTAAGTAAAAACCACATTTGATGCTGAACCTCCATGATTCAAAGAGTTTAAATCCAATAAATGAAAGGGGGTGGGGCCAGGAACAGTCAAGCTGGGGAGGAAAGTCTAGAGCAGAGGTTCTTAACCTGCGTAACCTCAGGACCCACATTTGTCCTCGGTCATTAAGTCGTGACCCAAGCCGCACTGCAATGGAACGCATTAGGGTACCGCGCGTTTTCCGATGCGGGTATACAAACTGTGGTTGAGAGGTGCGTTTGGGGTACCATTCAGATGAATGGCAACGCAACACCTCCCGCACCAGAATGCAAAGTAGGTGCGATTGCATGGTACAGTGCTGTAATCGCACCGTACTTGTGTGAACGGGCCCTCAAAAACACTAACATACATATATATACCCACAGACACAATCTCACACACTCACACACTCACAGACATTCACACACATACACACTCCAAAAAAGATCCACCCAGTCTCCCCTCCCTCACAAGAACTGAAGTGGAGCCTCAGCCTGGGGTGCAGTGTAGGCTGCTGTGCTGTGATGGAGCTCCATCCATATGTGAGTAGGCATGCGGCGACCCACTGAACACAGGGTTGCGACCCACTGAACAAGGGGTTGCGACCCACTTTTGGGTCACGACCCACCAGTTGAGAACCAAGGGTCTAGAGGATGCTGGATGTCCTCCAGCCAGGAAATGAGGCGGAGCTCTATCTGACTTGCTGCAGCTTCTAATGCACATTGCGAGAGGCTCACAGAGTGCAGTGAAATCGGAGTAAGTTCAGTCAACAAAAGTGCATGTCAGCCAACCCACCTAAGGGCTTATTCACACCGAATGCGGTGCGTTCCAGAGCGATAGCTGCTGGAACGCACTGCAATCCCTGCAAAACGTCCCCCTGCGTTCTGGGGAGGGGGCGTGGCGGTGCATTAATTGCAATGGCACCGCTTCCACGCCCCCGCCCCTAGTGCGATCGGACGTGTGGCAAAACTTTGCCTGCGTTCTGTTCCACTGCAAACACAAAAAATTGCTGCTCGCTCTATTTTTTGCGTTTGCAGTAGAACGGAATGCTGGCAAAGTTTTGCCGCGCGTCCGATCCCATTGCCATTTAATTCAATGCACCGCAACGCCCCAGAACGCAGGGGGAAGTTTTGTGAGGAATTGTGGTACGTTCCAGCAGCTGCCGCTCCGGAACGCACCGCATTCGGTGTGAACAAGCCCTAAGTCCACCCAAAGGTAATATTTCAGTTGTTGGTGTCGTTTTGTTGGCCTGCATCACTTGCTGGCTTCTTATATCATGTGCAAAGTCCAGTGGCAAGACCTTCTCGCCATAATGCCTGGCATTGTACTCACCTTGGAGCTTTGGGTTAGTACAGCTGTCCCCTCTCCTCATGCTGCATTCTGCACCACATAAACTAAAACTGCAGCAGGAAGAGCGAGACCCCATCATCATATCCACCACAGATATGCAGGACGAGTGCCGAGATCTCACCGCTTGCACTACCTGAGAGAGCCGATCTAGCTCCCCGTTCTCTGTACACACCTGAAATATTCTTTCTGGGTGGACTGACCTTCTGATGAATTGTTCTGGCTGCTCTAGTGAGAACTAATTGGCTCTTACAGGTTTCAGTTGGACGCCATTGATGCTCCGCGACGGTACATCATTGTGCAAAGGGGAAAACAATGCCTTTTTGTTCACTCGAATGGAGTTGTTCAACTCCAAAACTGAATTGATTGCGATTTTCTGAAACGTGACACTCCCCGAGTCCGCGCCGAGTTCCCAGGCGGATTTCTAGCTGCCAGAACTCTGCCGACTTTAATGTGAATGTTTCACTTCATTGTTCTGTGTTATCAGCACAATACAAGGCCGGGTTTTTCCTTTTCTTGAGAAAATAACAAATTTCTTCAAGGTTTCGCTCCTATAAGAGAGATTCCTCCTGGGACTGAGCATGAAGGCAGATCATACAATTCCTATGGGGCCCAGCAGAAGAGCTGGGGGACCAGAGAGAGATTCTTTACCCTGTTACAAAGCCATATAAACCGATCAGCCATAACATTGTGACCACCCGCCTAATATTGAGTAGGTCCCCCTTTTCCTGACCCGTCCAGGCATGGACCCCACTAGATGTAAGGTGTGCTGTGGTATCTGGCCCCAAGCCGCCAGTAGCAGATCCTTTAAGTCCTGTAAGTTGTGAGGTGATCGGATGTGCAGTGTGGCCGGGTGCATTATTCTGCTGAAAGAGGCCAATGCCATCAGGGAATACCGTTTCCATGAAGGGGTGTACTTGGTCAGTAACAATGTTTAGGTCGGTGGTACGTGTCAGAGTGACATGCACATGAATGGCAGGACCCGAGGTTTCCCAGCAATGCATTGGCCAACGCTTCACACTGCCTCCGCCGGCTTGTCTTCTGCCCATAGTACATCCTGATGCCATCTCTTCCCCAGGTAAGAAAATGTGATTTGCCAGGCCACCTTCTTCCATTGTTCCATGGTCCAGCTCTGATGCTCGCATGCACATTGTAGGCTCTTTTGGTGGTGGACACGGGTCAGCATGGTCACCCTGACCGGTCTGTGGCTACGCGGCCCCATACACAACAAACTGCGATGCTCTGTGTGTTCAGACACCTTTCTATCAGAACCAGCAGGAACTTTTTTAGCAATTTGATCTCCAGTATCTCTTCTATTGTATTGGACGACACAGGCCAGTCTTTGCTACCCACATGGATCAATGAGCCTTGGCCCCCCATGACCCTGTTGCCTGTTCACCAGTTTTCCTTCCTTGGACCCCTTCTGGTCGGTCCTGATCACTGCAGACCGGGAACATCCCACAAGAGCTGCAGTTTTGGAGTTGCTCTGACCCAGTCGTCTGGACATCACCATTTGGTCCCTCAAATCCTCATACTTGTCCATTAAATCTGCTTCCAACACATCAACTTCAGGGACACAATGTTCACTTGCTGCCTAATATATCCCCCCACTTCCAGGTGTCATTGTAGT